ACGAGTCTTCCTCTCAGATGAAAAAACAGCATCATGGCGGGGGTGCAATGGAGTTCTTTCTGTCAAACTGACAGACCGTAGTAGCCACGTTTCCTCAGCCATGTCTTTGTCCAAATACGTCGTCTCCTTTTCTTTTTAGGGCTTTCAGCACAAAATTGCACAGATTTCTAAGGCAGCACATTTCACTCTAGTGAGCTTCACATTCCTCTTCTAATCGTTTCCGGATAGACGAGTCCGAGTAGCTCCATCTCACTGAGGAGCTGAGTCCCACCTGGTTTTTAGATGTACAGTGTGAGCAGGTAGATCGCATCAAAGCATCGGGTCGCACAGTGTGAGAACAAACATCGTGAGCCGTGAACTTTATAACCCTGTGGTTTCGTTGTACAGTGTGAGCTGTAGCTGCGTGAAATGAGTGAAGAAATCATACAGTGTATAACCGGCTTTAGTTTGTGTTAAAAACAAACAGTAATTTGATCAGTGATGTTGTTTCTGTTCCGTTCCAGAATCTGGAGCTGGTGAAGGTTGACGACATGTCGGACATCATCATCAGACAAGGCCAATGAGGCGAAACGAACCATCGGGAAACAACGGCATAAAGATCCACACCTGGTGTCCATCTGCACCTTCCTTTTCTCTTTATTGTACTTTAGTGCAACTTTTCCACTGTTTTTACTTTAACTTTTTATTTGTTTTGTTCATGTGTATTCATCGTTCATTTTTTTTTTCTCAGCGCTTTTATCTGCTGTTTTTAAATTGTTTCTATGTAATGAAAGGAATTTGCTGTTGTTCCTTCATAAAGGAAAAACTCTGTAGATAATTATCATCGATATTCATCCATTGTCAAAATAAAGGAGTTTTCTATAAACCTAGAGATGAATAATAAATTACCTTCCTGCCAGGAAGCTCATATTAGTTGCTGGTTGACACATCACGAGGCTGCTCTACCAGCAGCGTTCAACGCCTACGTTAGCAATGTTTGCTCAAACCGGTTGGTCAAGGTCTGATGTTACCGGCTGGGTGGGGCTTTGTTTGACATCATCTCAGCGAGGAGCCGCCGCTGGGTAGAGAACTGGTTTCCAACCATCGGGGAGAATTCACGCCTTTATATTTGAGTTAATCATAGTGGGAGCAATACTTTATTTGTTTATTTAGGATTGGGAAATGTTCTTAGTTATGCACCTTTAGACATGAGCTCAATCCAAACATAAACATTAAGGAAACTAGATGATCTGAACTATAACATTTTTATATAACCTGCTAAAAAACAAGATTTCAGATTTAAAGTATTTTTTTTGGAGAATTTGGCTCTTTAATTTTAATCGTTAAATAAAAACAATAGTTATTGATAGCTGCTCTTTACATCAGATTAGAGAGAGCAATTAAAGAGTTGATAAGCATTTTTACTGTAACATTTCTTTAGATGTGTTTATTGGTGCTATATAAATATACTGAAACTATTGCAATAAGAGAAGAACCTTTTCTACAGGAAACCAAATAGCATGAGTAGAAATCTGATCAATTCCAAGTCATTTTCACTACAAACTGCAGATATTTCAAAAGGTTCATCCTGAAGTCTTCAGGTTTTTACACAAAATCTCAGAGAAAGATTTTATCCAAACATTTAAACTGGGAATATTTTATAGCTTCTTAATTTATACGTTTCTGCTCCTTAAAAATTTGTTTTCAAATTACTGAATTTTAATTTCCAAGAAAAGGAGGCATGCTTTAAGAAAAGTGCAGAGTATGATTGTATTTAACTTTAAGATCGCTAAATAAAATCCAAAGAGCTGCTTTCAGTCTAAATAAAGAAAAGTTAGCCCAGCAGACGGGTCGGGGGTAACGGTGAGATGCTAAACGTGATGTTGGGTTCTAAACGTATTTTAAAGCTTTAAAGATTAACTCATTCTAATAACTTTTGATCTAGACAAATCGCCAAAGAGTCCAGTGTTAAAAGACCCTAAGGGCGGGGCTAAGCAGGTCAGGATGATGGGAAATGGCAGCTAGCTTAGCTTAGCTCAG